AACAAGACCTCCCTCATCCTTGGCCCTATCTCTAAGAATTTTTCGAAATAGTCGAAAAATTCAGCTTTTAATTCATAAAGCGGCATCTGCCTGTTTTTTTTTTAAAGGTTACTTTATACTTTTATACTTGAAGTAGTTTTTGGAGCACATACTTTTTCACTTTTACTTGAGTAAAGATGATACTTCAACTTTTATGAAGTATGCAGATCTTTGGCTCCATCCACATCTAGTGAAGGAACTTTTTTTTCAACTTTTTTTTTTTCTTTCTTATTTGATACATGTACACTTGCACCTTAATCCAAATTTATCTTGATATACTGTATATATATTGTTTATTCTTAATGCACCTTTTTCTCCTTGTTTGCACCTTCTTTAATTACTATGCCAATATGTGACCAGTGAATTTCTCCGCTGTGAGATCAATAAAGCTCATCTAATCTAATCTAATTTTACCAGAGTGTTTTTAAACTGCAGTATCTATACTTCTACTTAAGTAGACACCACTGTTTGTGTCACATAACCAGACATTTCATTGCTAATGTTAGAACATTTAATCTCGTCTGTACATCTGAGGAACAAAACATTGAAATAATTGCAGGGTTATTAATAAAATGTCTTGTTTGTAGCTCAGAATGTGTCATTTATTTGGGTGCAATAATGTTTTTACCTGTCCTCTGCAGGTTCCTCACATTTTCTCCCTGTTAATTCCAAATTGAACAGATAATAAATGATTAAACAATTGATAAATTCATCTTTAATTGGTTGAAATATTCCTATAATTTATTTACCTTTTCTGCGTCTTCTTTTTCTTTTTTCGTGGATCTTTATTGTCTTGATTTCATCTTTCTTCTTCCGGAGCTCCTGAAATTTCTTCAGCACACAAAACAAAAACATAGTTTTATAGAATTACATCTATAACCTTATCCTGGTCTGCAAATGCAGGGCTATAGATTCAGTTTAACTCTCTCTCATTGACCGAACAGCAGCTTTAATATCAGCAGCTCTTTGGATTAACGTACTTCCAACATTTCCCGGGATATTCCAGGCAAACTGTCTGTCTGGGAATCGTTCCCGGTCTGACTGGCTTCTCCATCAGCCACCGAAGCTCTTACATCTCCAGCAGATAAATTATCCTCCACATTTTCTGATTCATCGCCTTCTTCCTCCTCTGAACTGAGGTCTTCTTCCGTCAAATCTTTAGGCAGCAGTCCGCTGTACATGTTGACTCATTATTTTACCAAAAAAATGAACATATTTTTTATTTAACTCTGGAAAAAACTGCTACAAATCCTTAAAATTAACAGCTAAACGGAAAATGTCCTTTTTCCGGGTAAACAAGGTGACGTCAGCGATGCGCACGCGTTTATTGGCTGAGAGCAGAAACAGGGTGCACGAGGATGAAACAGAAGCTGCTATTGGTTGCTTTAGTAAAACGAAACCAGCCTTTTTTCCATTATGTACTTTGTTTAAAATATATTTTTTTTAAAAAGTTAATTATCTTTCAAACTGTGACAAAAATTTATATCATAGATCTTTTGCTTTAGTTTTATTTTAGTTTTAGTTACTTTAGTTTTTATCAAACTGA